GATAGAGTGAAAGGGAGGGGTCGATCTAAACCTCATGTTACATGCAAATGTCATTGTTTTGTGTGAAGAAGCCGAGCAAGCTGATGAGAGAACAGGTGCATCTTCAGTGTTTCAGGTGAGGCTTCAGCTGCTGGTGGTGGAGGGGTGTGTGTTGCCTACCCATGTTGAGACCAAACCTACGCCCTTGATAAACTAATCTATTTTTACACCTCAGTGACGAGGGAGTCATCCAGCACCAGACCAGCTGAGGGGTGATGGCCAGTAGTAGAAAGCCTGAGGCAACCATTCATGTTTGTGAGCATCCAGCTTCAGACTGTGGCAACTGAACTTTCCTCTGGACACAACACCAATGGAAACAGTGGCTGGTAAATTAAGTGAATCAATCAATCAATCACATTATCTCGTCAATCTGACTAAAAGAAAAACAAATATCAAAGTGTTGATGATGGCATTAGATTATTATTATACTCCCAGAGTAAATTATTAGAGATTTAAGACAATTACTGGGTTTAAATTAAGCAAAATTGTGGGCCAAGGGGAAGGAGCTCATTATCCCTTGTTATTAAGTGGGTTCATCCAAGAAATAGATCCCATAAGTTTCAACGGCAATTAACTTTCCTGGGGTACAATCCAGGTTCTCATGCTGTTATAATACTTCCTGCTGGTAAACTCAACAGGCTAATAGGAAGCAACTGTTCACTGGGCAGATACAACAGAAAGCAGTACAGTACTCGGCACATACTGTAGGTCACAGAATGAAATATCTTTAAATATGCCTCAAAAATTGTTTCCACAGTAATGCCAGATTAAATACAAAAACTTTCAAGTCTGTTTCATTTCACCAGTTAAATTTCTTCCATTTATAATGTTCTTCTGCTGCCAAAGTGTCGCCTGAACATCCAAATTCAGGCAGCATTTTCTCCAGACAAAACCAAATGTCTGTCTGCTAACATGTTTTTAATTATATGAGGATTAATTCTACTGAGATTAAAGCTAACTGGCATGTACAGATCCCCCAGATATTCCATTGTACATTCACACTAAAAGAAGAACACATTGTTCACAAGTTCCTACATCTGCAGATGTAAATGTAAACAAGAAAGTACTAATTTGTTAAGGCTTAGAGGGCTAACAAGAAATGCAATATCTATTCAATTACACAGACTGAAATAGGTTGAAGGTGTGCTTTTTGTACGTCAGGCCTCAGAAATAATATTTGCTTTGAGTAATATGACTGCATAGTGACTCAACTCACAGTCGTTTTATAAAAGCTTTCATCTAGTTACCTTAGTCTGTTAACTCAGTGGGCAGAAGGACTCCAAAACAAGCTGACAAACCCACACGGCTGACATATGTTTGCCTTATATGCTGTAGCTGTTATGGCTGCTGTTGGGCAGGTTGCTTGAAAGATTTAACAATTATTCCTCACTGAAAATGTACGTCTTTATTAAAATTTCATTGATACAAGTAATTAGTTACTTTACAAGATGCACTGATGCATTTCTTTATCATCAAAGGTAGCCTATCATATTTTGCCCGATACTCTGTATTAACACACGCCGAAATAGAAAACAAACCGATTGATTTTCTTATATTCCTTGAGCATTTACTGTAATATAATTTTTATTTTTCATATATTCTGCATCCTGTATCATTTCACACTGTATTTCTTCTAGATTTAGGTGAGAAGCTGACTGGGGTAAAGTTTGAGCTGTGCAGTGAGATATGGAACTGTGCCCATTGGGATGAGGTCTTGTGGTTTGAATAATGCCTTTAGACAAATGTTGGCTGATGTATAATTAAGCGTGATAGGCTTAATTAGCCACAAATGTGGTTTATATGCTGAAAATACATAAACAAGTTTGGCCTCACAGAAACTTGACAAGAGTTTTTATGTTGTTACTTAGTGATCCAATCAGGTTAGAGAGGGGCTCCAACCTATACAGGGTAGAACCTTAAATGTCCTTTGACTCCTAATTACAGAGGCCCCATCAAGAGCCCCTTCTTATAAGCACAGAAATATTAAAATTGTAATTCTGTCACACCAGGATAGAAAAACAAATATAACCCATGCTGCCTCTGCTGATAAATATGTAGAGGATTTAATTATTAAATTTGAGGAATATGTCAAACTGAAAATTCCTTTTCCATTAATTTCCCAGGTAATAATTATTCACTGTAAACTGGTATTATATATGCTTCTGAGTGTCCTATATTTAGAAAATGGCTTCCCAGATTCACAGCGCACACTGTAATAGTTCTTTCAATTAGACAGATTGCCTCAGTGAACAGGAAAGGATAATCATAAAACCTTCTATAATTAATGAGCATATCCATTAAATTTTGAGGCTTTGCCAGTCATATCCCCCAACATTTAATAAGTATTTATAACTGATATTATTATTTTTTTGAAACACCTGATCAAAATACATGGGTCACAAAGTGAGGACGGAGACTTAGAAACCTTTTTTCATTGATACAATAACTTTTCCACCTGTGGAAAAGCCATAAAACAAATACAGAGGCTACTAATGAAATCAATTTAGAGAAGTGAAGTGGCTGAGAGCTGAGAAGTGGCAGGTTGTTTGATGTCACGCAAAAGCTGCTTTAGAAGAAAATGAAACCATTTCCACAATAATTTATGAATCAAATGCTACTGGTGTGGTTTGATGTCAGGACAATGACACTATGACAGTGATTCAACGGTTTGCTTTCATTTTATAATATGTGATTCATTGATTCTGTGGTTATGACTGGGGGCTTTGTGGTGTGACCTTAAACTTTCACTTGGGTTCTTCATGTAAGCAGATGTGTCTTCTTTAGTGTATCTCTGGAACTTTTTCATGCTTGTTAAATTCAGTCATTTTAATTTTTGACTTTTGAACAGACTGTATGCCATCAGCCTTTTGTGTCCAGAAAAATAATATTGGTCAAAATCTTTGTTCCTTGCTTACTAACACAATAACAGTTTTTTCCTCCAGAGTTTTCATTCGTGTACCACAGCTGTGCTGCAGTGAATACAGAAGTTCATTTATATCATCACAATTGGTTGTATATGGATGGTAACTTACATGATAATAGGTGGTTACATTACAGGGCTGGAAAGTCTGTGATTACATTTATAGGGCCTCATCATGCACTTAAGCACCTCTTTGCTACTATGCTACTTTTAATCTTATTTTCCTGGTTAGGAACTAAGTATCACCTAATAATTAATAAAGGATGGTCTGTAATTATTAAACATGACTTATTCTGGAGGACTTCTTGTGACTGTATAATGACTTTATCATTTGTGTTTGCATATGTTACTTTGCTAACTGCTGTAATTCTGTTCCGAAATGATAATGTATGGGCTTGAATATAATTTGAAATGAACAAAGTTTCATCTGACATGTATATGATATGTATAACAGCTGTTGCTGTTTATTTTTAACTTACTGCAAGAAACAAGGGAGAAAATCAGCTCATCCATTCTGTTAGGGTGCGCTCGAACACAGAGTGAGCAAGCAGATAAAAAGCAGACCCAGGTGGCTGGCTTCGGTGCAAGCAGTGAGGTTTATTTACAGTGAAGGTAGTGACATATATACAGGAGGAGTAGTGAGGTAGAAGATGACCGGGTGTTGATCAGCTGCAGCAGAAAAACAGTCAGTGGTATGGTGGATGATGATGTACCGGGCTGCGGACGCAGAGGTCACTCCTGGGCTGGTTGAGGTGGAGGTGATGATGGCTGTAAACAGAAGTACAGGGATAAACTGGGTAAGGGAGACTGTGCATCGATCTGGGAGGCGGTGGCTGGTGGTGTAGATTAAATCCAGGGGGGTCCAGAGGAGAGGTCCGAAGAGGAAGAAGACACTAGAGACTGGCAGGGGAGTGACTGGTGAACAGTGTATAAGTATGGAGGAGACTAATGAGGTGCAGCTGGTGAGTAATCAGGGAAGAGGGGCAGGTGTGTTGAATAGGGTAATCAGTGCAAGGGCTAGGCTAGTGTGAGGAAAAAGGAAAGAGGAAGGTGGAGCTGGGCAAACCTGACACATCCATCTCATGTTTATTTGTAGACAGATTCTAAATTAATGTTTTTTCTGATCTTTTTATATGGATGTGCATTGTTTTTCTTTTTAAAAATGTCTTTGTATTCATTTAAGATGGCAGTCTTAATTATGTTTTTAAAAAAGCTGTCGATCTCATCATGCATAGAAGGCTGAATGTTCACCTCTTATGTAATACAAAATATCCACTGTCTTTGGGCTGCATAAGCGGGGGAGGTGGAGGCAGTCTGTAATACCCAAACAGCTCATTCAGTGCTGTAAGAAACTAACTGCCTTTACAGCATCATCATGCTGTAAAATTTCTGTGCAAATCTATGTACTTCCTTTTGGGTTTTTATTCACCAGTGACAGGCATCAAAATGTTTCCTCAAACCTGAATAAAACAATAATCCTTACACAGTGTGCCCTTTTCCTTTTGCATGAGCCAACACTCTCCCATGTGTTTGCATTACTTTAAACTGACAGTGGGATTTCCTTCAAGCAAGTGTAGTGTGTGTGGGCAGCCTTGTTGAGCTGAGATGTGTAGGGTCATGTGTGGATGTGTGGGAAATGTAAAGTGTCCGATTCTAAGCATACTCACTTGTAAACAGTGAACCAGCTTAAGTTAACATATGAAAAAATGATCACTGATATAGATGCAATATTCCACTTATAAACACAATGCGTCTTCATGTTTTTCAAGTTTCCAGTATAGTCCTGAAATCTGGGTTTCAGTATACCATAAGACAATCCGGCGCAATAAAGAATACTATTTTCTCATTGTGATCTGTCAGTGCCATCTAGTGGACAATGAATGTGATGAGCAAACGACGTTTTGTGGCACAATATGATAACCTCTTGTCTCTATAAAAATATTATATGCAGGTATCAGTTTGTACATAAATATATAAATGGTAGTATAATCACAACAAGTAGCTGCAGACATTCTTGGGGGTTTACAATGCTCACAAGTTAATGGAGTCCAATTGAATGAGAATTTTACAAGGAGACCGTGAAGGCAACAGTTACCATGACAACAGTACACAAACAACCAGCCCCGCTTTGTGGCGGATTAGCTGCCCACTGCACTGTCACACGGTAGGTGCGTTTATTATGAAAACCTATTTCAAGAAGTGTGTGAAACTGTTTTCTGTTTTGTACAGAACACAAAAGGTTAATTTCCAGAAACATAAACTAGGGCTAGCCTGTAGCTAGTTTAGCAAGCTCATGTTAAAACTACGTCAACGTTACATTGCATGTTCCTAACTTAAAATACAAAGACGCTGCACTTTACAAAACAGAATAAACGCACTGTGCAGTACGGAGCCCTCTAAGGGTCATGGTGGTGTTTATCTTTTGAACTGCTTTTACTTTATGGTTACCTCGCAATGTTCTGCATTATCTGGCAGTACGTCACTACTTCCTTGTAGGCACCTTTAGAAGGGGAAAAATAATTCGTATTTAAATACTAAACACCAACAAGACAAACTGGTCGGATAATAAAAACAACAATAATAGCAATGTGTAGGTTGCTATTAACCCAGTTTTTGTACAGTGTTTGTAACTTGTCACATTCATTCATGTGCCAAATATAATTTCCCATTGGTCAGGCAGTTTTGTAATAATTTCATCAAACAAAATTTCAACATTTGGGAGTTCTACAAAAGATGTAACAATTATGCAAACAGGAAAAAAAGATTAAAATAATTAAAAATTGCCCTTATACACATCAGTGTTCCACCTCCACAGGTCTACTCACGTTTGAGAATTCCAATACTAAAGGAGTTCATCTGGGTTTTATGGGGTTAAATATTTAGAAATTCAGTCCTGGGCTAGACCTAGTTTTGACTAAAATGACTTAAATAATTTTAAAATCAGTTATTTGGGTTAATGAAGAGATATAGCTGCTTGTCATCCACAAAAAGGTTTTAATTTGTATTCATTCTGTAGCCTGCAGCCATATTAAATACTGAGCCACAGGAAATCTTGAAAATGTCATCCCCACAACCCAGTAAGTTGTCAAGTTATGTTGTCAGTGTTAATGCTATGCATCACACACAATAAACAATGCAAACTGAGCCAGTAATTGACTAACTGTTGATCATTTCATACTATTATTAACATATTTTCAACAGAGGGCCCAGAGAGTTCTTCTGGCAGCACTGATGTTTCAGAGACAGAAAGCACTGCCAAACCACATAAGCAAGGTATGGTGGGCTCAGTGGCAAACCTGGAAAAAAGAGAGAAAACCAGGGGAAACAATATGCTGATTTGTTTTATTTGCTCACTTCATGATTCGTAGACACGAGGAGGACACAACAGAGCCCATTCAAAGTGCCAGACAATAACAGCATTCTTCTATTAAGTGTAAATGAAAAAGAGGACCACAAAGAGGTTGGTGTTTGTGTTTGAGCGCAATCGCATATGTTGAAGTACGTTGTTTTCTATTCACTGCATCATAATTGTATGACTCATGTGTTTGCAAAAAGGTGAAATATTGATCTTTGCTGCGTAAGTCATGCTTCTGTTCTCCTCCACACTCAGGAGGTGCGTAAATTTCTGGCTCTACCAATTCATGAGAAGACAACCCACACTGAGAGAATGACGGCCAAGCAGAAGAAAGAGTCGGTGGGAGAACCGGAGGAGGAAAAGGAGAAGATGGAAAACCTAAAACAAATCAAGAGTAAGACAACTCTCCTTAAACAAATGCCTGGCAGACATGAACTGAAGATGGCCATTATAAAACAAGGTAAGAGGAAAGAAAGTAGAGACTCAAAATGCGTCAGACTTTATAAATGTGCTACCTGCAGCTTTTTAACATTTCCAGGTTTCTCCCCAGCAAACACTATGAAAGACAGCAAACATGACTTAATCTCCATGGAACAGCAGAAGGCAGTGTTGGAGGTAAATCATTTCCAGAGCTAGTAAGATTTTAATAGAAATAGGGTCGTGTCAACAACCTGGACTGTTCTCAGTTTTACTTTGACTGATGCCTATTGAATGTGTGCTGTCTGTCAGCCGTCTCACACTCACACTTATTTTAAACTACAACAATCATTTTTTTTGAAACTCCAAAAAATCTGCTGTGTATAGGTCTGTTTAAAACAGGGCAAGAATGTTTTTTTTTGACAAATCACATGCAGACAGGCATGACTGACTGAACCAGATGTGCACCCTGCTGTGCCAGCTGAGTTTAAAAAGTAGTATTGTTTAATGCTATGTATCTTGGTTGTTGTGTCCAGTCAGTGTCTTCTTATGTTTCTCATCTTCCTCCTCAGTTAGCACTGATGACAAAGAAGTCTGCGATTGTGAAGATGGACAAGGCTATTGCAAAAGAGGAGTGGCAGCTGAAACTGCTTGAAAAGCTAATTGAAAGAGACAACCTCAACTTTGAAGAGTTCCTTAGGGAGAACGAGAAGAAGTCTGTGGAGGCCCGAACACTGTAAGCAGTATCTACAGTAGATATAAAATAGTGTCTGCCTTGTTACTGGGACTGAAAGTAAAACTATGCTTCTTGAAGCTGTGTTTTACTCAGAGCCCTAACAAAAGAACAATGTGACATTTAAAAAGTCAGATTGTAAATAGTTGTCCTGCCTATGTTGTCAGTTTTGAACAGGAGGCCAAGTCCAATCAGGAGAAGAATGCTGAGATCAAGAGACTGAATGCTGAAATAGGGACCTTAAAAAGGTAATGTCCAGCCTGATGTTGTATGTAATGTGTGTGTAAGTTATTCATGTTTTATGTGTATGCAAGCAATTACCTAAAAGGTGCACCAAGGTGAATACATTTGGAAGAATACAGTCTCATGCAGATTTAAAGCTAGTCTTTCTGTTTTCATAGAGAACTTGCCACATCTGAAGAAACCCTGACAGACTATAAGAGATACAAGGAGATTCTGTTCAAGCTGTTTCCACCAGAGCAGCAGGAGGCTCAGAAAACTAAAGCTTTGAAAGTGAATGTCCAGTCTGACAGAGACACACAGAATGTGAAGAGCAGGGAACCTGAGGAGTCACCTAGTAGGAATGGCAAGTACTTCACCTTGGTGCAAGTTGAAACCACCTATATTGGCAGAAATTAGTTTGTGATGACCAGGGTGAGACTGGATAATGTTAGTCTATATTGATTCCTTAAGTTATTAACATGCACACAGGTGTGTTGTCCAGCCCAGGCAGAGAGCTGCCCTCCATCAGAGGGACGAGGCTGTCCTCCAACCCCACCAGCACAGGGACACACCAACATGGGCCACCCAATCACAACATTCATAACTGGTTTGCTGCACATACAGGATTGGACTTATAGATTCTTAAACACTAATGCACTAATGAATAAAGTGGGTAATCCATGACTTCATAAAGTGTTCAGCATAAGACAAAATAAACAATAATATAGATAGAAACATGCCTTTAAAATCATTTTCAACTATTAAAAATGTAAGTATACAGTATATCTTTTCTTTTTAAGCTATGTTTATGGACATTTAAATATAATTTCACAATAAATTTTCTTTGTCTTGTTGCACACAGCATGCGTGTATAACTTTGCAGTAAATTTGGTTTAATATATTGGTTTAATATGCAAAAACTTTCCTTTGGCTACGAGAGACCCCAACTATTAACCTGGACAGTGAGAGCTCAGAATATGAGGTCAGTTTTACTTACCTGCTTTCACTGAAGCAATATCTCTTTTAATCTTATTTACAGTGCTCACAGTGGTCTGTCTTTCCCACCTTGTTGTTGTCACCTCTCAGCAGGAGGCACCAGAGCTGTACTTCACTGATCCCCAGCAACTTCTAGATATGTTGACAGAGCTGACAGAGCAGAACTTGTCTCTGATTCAGAACTCTACCAGGGTGGAGGAGACAGTGGAGGAGCTCCGACAGTCCATGGAGACAACCAGGGCCGAGATGTAAGTATTGTGGTTCAAGGTTTATTCCTCAATTCAAATTTTGTCATTGACATCTGTTCTCTTGCCTGAGTATGAGCACTGCACTTCTTCTTTTTGTACATCTCTGTGCACCTTTATTTGGTTATCTGCATTGCTGAAATGTTTTTTCTTGGAGGTTTAGACCTGTTTTTACACTTTGAGTTTCCCCCTGCATTATTCATCCCTTCTTTCCCCTCCTCTTTGCCACATCCATCAAATTCTGATTCCTTCCTGACTCAAGTGAAAAGGATGAAGAGCAGCTAGCTCTGCAGGTAAATGACATGAAGCAGAGAGTTGACAAAGAGAAAGCAAAAGGCAACAAGCTCAAACAGAAAGTCCAGTTCTATGTCTCACTGAACACCAAGGAACAGGTGAGAAAGTAGAGTGTAATGCATTGTATGTTTGATCATGTTTTTACCCCAAACCATCCAATTTACATCTAAAAGCTGCACTTGACAATATTAAATGGATCTAATGGTAACCACACCCAGAAAACATGTTGGGTGGCACCAGTGGACTGTAAACAGCATGCTAGTTGGTTACCTCCCCTGTTTACAGGATGTGCTCCTTGATGCTCTGGGTGAAAAGATAACAGAGGTGTATCACAGCTGTGTGGATGGCGGTATAAACAACCTGAGTGTCATGGAGAAGCTAGGCAGCATTGAGAACCGGGTGTCTTTACTGCTGCTGAGCCTTGAGAGCATCCCTGAAGAAAGCTTGAAGATGATGAAGAAGATCAAGGACCGTGAGAGGAGGAGCAGGTATATCTCAGTGGCCACGTTTTGCTTACTGTCTTGACTGCAAGAAAAAAATTGATGCAGCAAGTGTCACTTGAGTCAGACTGCTTTATTGTACTTTATTTTGAAGGTAATGTCAAAGGGCAACAGCATAACTGCTGCCAAAGATTTCCATCAGTATAATATAAATCTTGGTATACATTGCACACTGAGATGGTTTTTCCTTAAATAAATAGAGATTTAAATCTGAAGTTCAGGAGCAGGACCACGCTTCAAACACAGCTCTTCCTGTCATATTTACCTCCACTTCCACACACTCTGTAGCTTTCGCACCTGTTGTACCCCGTACTTTCTACCATACTGACTCTGAGAGACGAGACAGTCCAAGTAACTACAAAACAGTGCTGATTTATTCAAAGGATCACAGGTAAAATTAACATTACACGCTCAAGTATCTTGCACCTCCAAACTGCTCGCAGGCAGATGCAAGATGCAAGACCCTGAACCCACCAGGCCTATACATTATATCACCTCGGTTGGGCTAGCCCCATACTACACAGAAACGTCAACCGAGACGTCTCTGTTACCAGCTTTGCAGCTGGTCATAGCAGTAGTCAAAACATGAAGCAAATCAATGTGTGTGTGTGTCTGTTGGTTAAGTGGTGTGTAACTAAAAACATTCTCACTGACCTCTAGTAACATGTCATGATATTAAACATAAGAACATATTATGGCTAAGGCTACAGTTATACACGTCATAATAATAATATTAAACCCCCTGTCTGCTGACAGTCATCAACTTTCTATTTAGTTATCCTTGACCAGATGTACCCTGTAGAAACTGATGAGCATGACTAAGCATTTAACAGTCTAACTAGACATCCTATCTCCACTAAACATTTCTAATACATAAAGTATCTATCCAATATCTATCTGACTAAAAATACCTAACACACCCACCCTCCCAAAATGCTGCCATCATCCTGCCGAGCTCGAGCCAAGCCTACATCATCTTTCTCCTATTCATTCAATGAATAACCTGAACTTCACTCTTTGATGGCATGGTCCTTGCAAGTGAAATTCTCTCCAAACTTATTAAAAAATACAGTAGCATGTTATCTAAAAAAAAAAAATCCCCTCTCTTCTTACATCATGTTGCAGGGAACGTGAAGAAAAGTCGAGAGCGCAGAAAGAGAAACAGAGAGAAAGGATGAGGATTTACCTGGAGAGGTCTCTGGCTGACTCCAAGAGAACTGTAAGCTATTTGCTTAAAACTGCTTCAGGCAGCCTTTTATACAGTTCTGTAAAATTTGTATTACCACTAGTAATTATCAAAATGTACTGTGAGTGTATTATTACCACAATCATTTGAATGACACTCTCTACCAGCCTTCACTGGCCTGCATTTATAATGTGTGGCACTGGGTAAGATACTGGGTAAAGCCCGTTGGATTACATTAACACTTAATTCAAGAAGAAAAACTGCTTGGGAAATTGTGGTTCCTAGTTATATAAATTCTATTTTAATAAATTAGAATACTCCTGTCTTAAAAAGCCAAAATGAGTTTACAGTAAAAGATAAAACAAAGATCAGGAGCAATGCTTAAACTGGAGACAATTTTCTTTCAGAGTGGGAGAAAGCTCATGCCCAGATACATGCCTGTTACCCAGAGAGTCACAGTCAGCAATGTGGACAACATCCCTGCTGAGGACGAGCTCCATGCCTACCTCTTTGACTCTGACGACATAGAGTAAAAAAGAAAACACACACACACACACACACGAGAAAATTATGCAAAGACAATGGTGTTTAAAAATGCAGTCACTCCTCGGATACAGTTGAGGACTGACAATTTGACATCATTACCATGACATTAAATGACTGAAGTGAAATGTAATAGAAATATGTAAAGTACAATAAAGCAGTCTGACTGAAGTGAATAACTGAGTCCCTGGTTGCAGTGGTGAAAATTAAATATGTTTCCTCCTCACTGAACACATGGATGAAACCTCCAGTTTAAAGGCAACACTGACTCAGGACTTGGAGAACAAAAGATGTCAGTGGGAGAGTGAGAAGTCTTGTCTTCTAGCCGAGCACACAGAGGCAACCTCTAGCTTGAAGGTAGATTTGATCCAGGCCAAAATAGCCCTGGACAATGAACAACTCCAGTGGAATCAGGAGAAGCCCTGCCTCCTTAGTAAGCACACAGAGGCAACCTCCAATCTGAACGCAGCATTTCTACAAGCACAGGAAAACCTGGACAATGAAAGACTCCAGTGGAATCAGGAAAAGTGCAGCCTCCTGGAGTCTATCAGGACCCTTAACCAGGCTTTGTACCTGAAGAAAGAAAGACTGCACTCTATGGATGTACTTGTGGAAAAACTAAAAACTTTGGAAAGTCAAATGGAGGAGGTTCAGAAAAACACAAAGAAAAAAGAAATCCATGAAGAAAAGATTCCTCAACATCTTTAGGCCATGTTGCAGCAGCCCCACCTTGTGATCTCCAAAGTCTTCTGCCAATCTCAATCAATCTGGACAGATAACACCATCAGCTCTATCAAGAAAATTATCAAATGTGATGTCAGCTACATCCCAATAATTTCTGAAAATGTTTACTGTAAAGGGCCATGTAGTTTGGTAGCATTTACAGAAAATCAGAGACGGAAGGTACAGTAACCAAAATCAGATTTGAGAAAGCCAAAAAAATGCAACCTAACCCTAACCCCTTCCCCAATCCTCGAATGCTCTAAACCTACCGTTCTCAAATCTGATACTGTGCCTACAAATCTGTGTCTGGGCGCTGTCAAATGCCATAGTTCTTTCTGGAAAACATAGTCGACTTGAGGGATTTACTGCAGCTGGTTGACATCTCTGTTCATGAGTCAGCCATATGCAAAATATTGAACAGGCAGTGAATTCGTGACAGGACACCATGGAGAGGGGTGGATAGATTTTTCATCTGCAAACAAAGAGTTTCACAGACCTAACATTTCTACTACTGTCACTATTTTGGGTCATGACTAAAACTTTAACACCAGAGCTGGTGCTCAAATAAATTAGTAGATTCATATTTACATGTATTAATGAAAATAATGAGAAATGAGCAGAAATTTAATTTGTATTTTATTTTTACATTTTCAACAGCTATTTATCAATCAGAACATTTACAGTGATGATTTATATCTTGCTCAAACACTTGAAGTGGGAGAAAACCGGAGCACCCGGAGTAAAAACCCACAAAGCAAGGAGGAGGATGAGACACCGCCCACCCCCAAATATTTTTTTTTTTAGATGAATTACTTCTGGAAGGGCTTGCAGATGAACTTGCGGACATTGGAAAAGAACCTGCAAATTTTGCTGCCTTTCACTGGTTGGTTAATTATGTGCTTGTTGAGAGTGGAGAGGACGTAAATTTCAAATACTGAATCAGTCATATGCAGTCGAAACGCAATGTCAACCTTGCTGAAATCTTTGCACAGGTCCTTGTAGACTTTTTTGTCTAGGCGTTGGAATGTTTTTGCATTATAGACAATCTCTTTGTACTCCAGGAGAGCCCATAGTTTATCAAACAGTCGATCGACGCGGAGTTCTGTTTGATCCATAGTGGTCTTGACACCAGCTTTTTTAAGAATCCTTGAAAACAGATTATTAACAACTGTATACACGCATTCCTTTAATTGTGTCTTTTCCTCTTCATCAGTGACTCTTTTTGTTTCCTCTTCAGAGGCGACTGTTAACTCCTCCTCACTTGGCAAGGAACATTGAGAAGCCTGATTGTTGACTATGCACATCCTCACTAGCGCCACGAACTTGTCTGCCTTGGTGCAGAACCAGTGCCTCACCCTTACAAGGAAGCGACACACTCTGCTCCTTATTTCATCACACATGACA